CTCCTCCTCTTCCTCCTCCTCCTCCTTCCCTCCTCCTCCTCCTCCTCCTCCTCGCCTTTCTCCTCCTCCGCCCTCTCCTGCTCCTCCTCCACCTCCTCCTGCTGCAATCACGACTTTGATGGGGCCCGGCGTCATGATTATTCCATGACGTCGACCTCCAGAGGCCTCGACCCATTCCCAGGGACAAGTTTTTCGTTCCGAGTCGTTTTCTGACGGTCCCGAGGCCCGGCGAGGGCCCCCCGAGGCCCGAAACGAAGAACAACTGTTTTGTCGCACTTTGATCATGAATCGATGGGGGTCTGGGATTTCAGCTTGGCTGCAGATTAGCAGGCGAAGAGAAGGTGTAAAACAAGCTCTTCCCCCGCTGGGGGGCGCCTGCCCCAGGGCGGCGGGAAAGCTTCTGCCCCAGGGCTGAACCTAAACGGTGTCTTTCGTTGTCGTTTTGTGCTCGTTGTCCCTCGCTTTTGTCTCGCATCGCTTGTTTTCCCGCGCTTTTGTCCCCCCCTCCCTCTCGCTGGAAAGAGGAGAGAGGAGGAATCGGCGTGGTGGTGGTGTATATTCTTTGGACCCCCAAATCGGCCTTTATCGCAAAACGAAGTCGAAACGAAAACGGCCCACGAAAGTGCCAAAAACACCGTTTAGGTCCAGCTCTGTTATACCCTTACGGTGGCACGTCGGGGCATTAACTGTCCAGCCGCCGCGGGGCAGGTGTCCCCAACGGCGGAACAATGTATGTCATACCGTTCTTCGTCGGCTAATGTACAATAGGGTCCCGACCTCAAGAAACCGGCCACAAGAAACCCAACCCTGAGACCCCAGGACGTCCGTTGATGTTTTGTGTGGGGACGTCACTGGAGGCCTCCTAGATGGGGTCGGAGCAGGTGGGGTCGGAGGATCGCACCGCATCGCCAATGCATCGGCGATGCATCGCCGATGCATTGCCGATGTCGACGTGAAGCAAATCGGGCCCCACATCGAGCCGCATCGGAGATGTATCAGCGGTGCGGCGCGATCCTCCGACCCCATCCGCTCCGACTTTCTCTAGGGGGCCTGGAGCCACGCTCTCCACAGCAGAACCATCGAAACCCAAGAAACCCGGGGCACCCTGGAGGCAAGCCGGATGTGTCTTGGCACGGGTCCTCCTCCTCCTCCTCCTCATCCTCCTCCTCCTCCTCCTCCTCCTCCTCCTCCTCCTCCTCCTCCTCCTCCTCCCCTGTAATGTAGACGATGCAGCTGCTGCGCACCGCGCGGGGCCTCCCGAGGGTTTCCTCACGAGTGGGCAAACCAAAGAATGGCATGTGCGCGTCGCTGCAGCAACGATCTGTGAAGGTACGTCGTCACTCTGAGGCGCACGCAACCGAAAGGCGAGTTCCCCTTTGTCCTCCCTCGTTTGTCCCTCCTCTCCTCCCTCGTCCCTCACTCCCTCCCTCACACCCTCCTCCTCCTTCTCGAACTTATCCTCCTCCTCCTCCTCCTCCTCCTCCTCCTCCTCCTCCTCTAGCCGTTCTGGCTCAGGCATTTCGCCTGTGCTTGCAACAGCTTATCCTCAGAACGGCACACAGCTATTGCGGGCTGAATTGGCTCGTATTCCATTTCATTCAGTTCGCGGGATCTCAACCCGCACGCTTCCATTTGTGAGCTCCTGCAGGAGCATCTCTTCACGACGTCCCCATCGGCGGCATGGCGGGTGGCTCTGCTGTCGGAGGCGGTAAAGGGCGCGTGGCGTGGGCGCCATGGCACTCGAAGTGGTCCAGTCCTCCTCCCTCTGGTCCTCTGGTGGTCTCCAAGGCGAAGCGCCTCGGATTGGAGCCGTCCGAGTGCCGAGGCGCCGCGACCACACCCAGTGGCCGCCGTTGGTGCCAGGCCTCCAACGTCCGCCTGCTACTCATGTGGATGCTGGTCATGGCCACGCTCCTGACAAGCGGTGGACATGCTGCTGGTGTGGATGCAAGAAAAACGAAGGCCGCTTCTACTTCTGCAAGCACTGCGGAGCGCTCAAGTCCGACTCCGCGGTGCCATCATCGACCTGGTCTTACGGTGGAGCGTTGGCCCTCTTCGAGGATGGTGCTGCAGGTGGAGGTGGCAAAGCTGGAGGTAAAGGACTTCCGGCAGGCGCTGGAGGCATCAAAGGAGGCAAGGGGCTCCCCAATGACGGTGGCAAGGGCCCCACCCTTCCGGGTGCAGGTGCCCCCGCCGCAGATGCGCCTCCGCTCACCAGCGAGGAGTACCTCCAGTTGTCGGGCCTCTGCGCAAAGATGGGCGACACGCAGGGAGCAGAGGCGTACAAAACGGCCGCTGCGGCTCTGCAGAAGCCGGCGGCTGCTCCTGAGGCCGTGCAGGTCCGTCTTCAGAAAGCGCACAGCAAGGCTCGAGGCGTCGAGAAGAGGTTGGAGGCAGCTTGCAATAAGTTCGACCAGCTCGAGTCCCAGTTGGAGTTGCAGCGTTCAGCTGTCATTCAACTTCGTGCAGAACTGGTCGCGGCGGAATCAGAGCATGGTGATCTCGTACGCAAGCTTCATGCTGAGTTGCCCCCTGCCACGCCAGCGGCCGGTGGCAACAAGCTCTCCATGGACGACCTGCTTGACGAAGAGAAGTTTGCGGCTGCCTTCGACGTCGACGTGGGTTCCGCCTTCCAGGTGGGCGTTGACGACGAGCTCTCGGCCGAGGACCAGACTGAGCTCCAGAACCGCATCGAGCAGTTCAAGACTGGCATCTCCTCCATGGCAAAGAGCCTCTTCTCGGAGGCTAAGTCCAAGGTCGACGGCCTCAAGGCGGAGCACTCTGCGCTGGCGGCTCGGATGGCGGCGAAGAAGCGTCGCACTGGAGCTGACGGAGAAGGAGTGGCCGCTGGTGACACAGCGGGCGCTGCCCCCCCAACTGCTGGCGATGGCCAGGGCGCCCAGGCCGCGGCAGCTTCGGCCCGTCCGGAACCCCAGGCGCCCCCAGCAGGCGGCGCCGCTCCCGGCCCTCCCGCGGCTGCTGAACCGCCAGCGCCTTCTGCATCCGCGCGTTCTCGCGCTGACCGCATCGCAGGCAAGGGTCACTCTTCTGAGCCACCCCCCCTGGAGGCACCTAATAATCCTTCGGTCCTGGCCCGTCTCCCGGTCGTCTCGGGGTGCCGTGTCCCTGCTTCTTTGGGACTTCAGGTTCTGGGCTCAAGGGAAGGCTCTTATGGGCAAGCGCTCCAGGGGGGATCTGAACTTGCTTTTCAACAGCTGCCTGGAGCGCGATCTCTGGCGCAGCTCGCTCTTTGGCGCAGGAGGGGGATGCCCCCTTTGCTTGCCCAGTGTGTAGGGGAGCCTGCACAGCAGCGTCTGTCTCGCCCTCGATGGTCAGCGTTGCTTGCTCGCTCTCTTGCTGTGCTCAATGGCGACAGCTCCACC